GGACGGGGGGGGGGGTAACCGGGTCCATTTTTAACCTTCCCCCCCCAGACCGGGCCCAAGGTGGATTAAAAAAAAAAACCCGGGGGGGGGGGGGGGGGGGGGGGGGGGCACGCACACCAAAAAATACCCAAACTACCCACGTTTTTATGCCCGGGTAGCCTCCTTCCTTCACAGGTGTCCGGGGGTACAGCAACACCAGCACGTCACACTCAGACAACCTCAAAACCCTCCTTCTTCAAACCCCTGCAAAAAACACCACTCAAACAGGCGAGCCATCTAAATACGCGTTTTGCTTGTACACCACCATATCACTACTATCGAGCGTTTCTCCCCCCTTGTTCGCGGCCAGCGCATCAAATCAGACCTTGACGAATGATCTCACGGTGCCCCTGAAGCGATCCATCAGGCCCGCCTCGCCAGCTTGCTCCGCTCCCGTCCCCTCCGCTACGCCTTCTCCAACCCGGTCGTCACCACCACCGGCGGTTGAACCTAGCGCGGTTGACGCGCTACAGCGGGGGGCAGCGCCGCCGCCGGGGTGGGCGCCGTAGCTGCTGGTGCTGGTGCTCACGCTGCTGCCCGTGCGCGACAGGGTCGTGAGAGAGCTTGGCAGCTGCACCTCTTGCACCTCTAGGCACACCAGGAGGGGCACTCGCTCCTTCGTGGAGAAGTGCATCGACTCTCCGGGGTGGATCGCGCGGATCTGCCATGTCGCCACACCCATTCGTCGAACAGTTCGCCCGACCGCCGGCGATGGAGAGAAGGGGGGGGGGAGAAAGCGAGAGAAGGAGAGGGGCAGGGGGGAGAGCGAGAGAGAGTTAGAGAGATAGGGAGAGAGTCACACTCTCAGAGATACAAAGAGAGAGAGAGAGAGAGATGGGACGGAAAAGGAAAAATACAGAAAAAACACTCAAAAGAAACAGCGGAGAAACAGACGAGAGGTTGAAGAATGAAAGGGTTGCATCAGTCGGGCGGAGGTACATATCAGCCTGCGTAACCCCGCATCGGAAAGCCTGACCCGTTAGCTATGTGTGCATCTGCTGCTTTCTTCGTACGCTCAGAAAATAAACACGCTTTCTATGGAGCCCTCAACTCTGGGTGAGCTGATGAGTCCGGAGAGAGGTGGCTATGACCTGCCACTGGAAGCTGGCTGGTTCTTTCGGTGCTATGTGGCGAGGAATGCCAAGCGTGACCGAGCGAACTCAGTCACAGCTAGGGTGGTGCGGAGAGTGGGCGAACCTTCGTGGACTCATTTTCCCAGCCTCCCAAAGATTCATCAACCATTCGCAGCTGTTGGGGGAAAAACCATGATCTAGTGTCACAGATCCCTCACAGATTCTACGCTCTATGTACGTGTGTCTGCACTTCCTGAATGTCCATATCCTGACCCACACATTTTCGTCACAACTCCAAGAACATTTCCTACTCGGCAACTCTGATCCAGATGCGAAGACGAAGCACCTTGGGTAGGAATTCGCTGACATGTTTTGAGGTGGGTGATCACAAGGAGCCGACAGCAATGAAAAACAAAGAGGAAGGGTCAACACCATACACCACGAGGGCAAAAGACATCGAATGCCAACGACAACAACAACAACAACAACAACAACAAGATCAGCTACAACAGCAACGAACAACAAAAGCAATAAGAACAATAACAACAACAACTACTTAGACTCAAACCGTTGGCTTCCCTCCCATACCTGATGAAAACCTCCCCGGAAAGGCACGTAGATGACGTCGGACCCTTGCGCCCGCTCGGACAGGAAGAACTCGTTGATCCGCTCAAGGCCCTCCTGAAGCCCGCCGGCCCGCTTCTGGGGGGGGAGGTCTCCCAGCTGCTCGGCCAGTCCAAGCAGGGCTTCCATGAAGAACCTGACACACAACCCGTTGTTGTTATCGTATCGTTGGAAATTATGAAATTACACATGTGTCGTGCGTGCATGTGAGTGTTTTTATCATTAGCATCGACCGCGCTAACCGGCTGACCAATGAAAAGACGTCAGAGTGTGTGTGTGTGTGTTTGTTCGTCCCATCTATTCTGGCGCCGGTTTACAGGCCTTTCGGCGTATATACCTGACGTGCCAGCCGGGGTCACAAAAGAGGAAGGTCACCCAGGAGCTTATTTCATTTTCTTGTTTGTTTTGTTTCCCCACCTTTCTCCCTGCGGTACTTGCTTTAGTTTTTTATCATGGGGACGTGTTAAATGTAGACACAACGAAGGAAAGAAGCGAAAAAACAGAACGGACACAACCCTACTGCGAAAAAACAGAACTGCGAGAACACCATCAATAGAGGGCATATCAGGTGAGGAAATCGCTCCGCGGTTTCCAAGGGCTTGCTTTCCTCCTGTGTGCGACCTCGGCTTGTGCGTCAGACATATGTTGTCGACTGGTGGCGGAGAATACGTGGAACGAAGAAAAAAAAAAACATAAACAAAAATTGTAAAATCACGTTGTACGTGGGTGTGTGTTGTGTGCATCGATGACAATATCTATCGAACGAAAACAACTAAAAGGGAGTTTCCGGCTTGGCCATTTTTCAGAGCTGCGGCGTGTTGCCGGACTCGGAATTCGAGAGGAAACCCTGTCTGTGTACAGCGGCGGCAGACAAAAACGCCAGTCTTGCCGTACCAATCTATGTTCCAGGGAACGGTGAAAGGCTGCGGCGCTACAAGATAGAGGGCCGTGACATCGCAATGGCAGCTCGAAACGTCTGTTTGTGTGTGTGTGTCGACGTCGACAACGACGGCCCGCTCTGTCTCACATGGCCGGGTCGTAGTGCTCCGCCAGGCTGTCATCTTCCTCCTCCTGCTCCTCCTGCTCCTGCTGCTCCTGCTCCTGCCGCTCCTCGTGCGGCCGACCGCCGATCACAACAGCACCGTCGGACTGGCTGCTGCTGTCGCCCTGCCACACCCGCCGCACATCATCACCGTCGACCACCACCGCCATGACCGCCGCCGTCGCCGCCGCCAGCGGCGGCGGCGGCGGCCTTTCCACGCCCCCCTCCGAGCAATCTCGCGCCGCCTCGGCAACCACAGCGCCGTCACCAACAACAGCTGCGTCGTCACCACGACCATCGGGCTTGGCACCACCAGCAGCCCGACAAGATCCGTCCGTCGCGACAGCCGCAGCAGCGTCTTGGTCAATGACTCCGTCGCACAGAGGAGCGGCGGCAGCCGCCGCCGCCGCCGAAGACTGCCGCCCCAAGACCCTGGCGAGCCGGCTGGCCACCGCGCAGCCGCGCTTTTGCACCCTCAACGCGAACGAGGATAAGCCCGACAGAGGAGGTGGCTGGCGGGCGGCGGCAAACAATTGCGGCGTTTCGTCACAGAGAAGCGAGAGGGAACGCGTGAGGCGGTGGGATTGGGGGGGGGGGGGGGGCAGAAGAGCCCGGTGTTCTAGTAAAGGGTGGAAGACACGTCAAAAACATCGGAGAGCAGTGAGTTTCGGTGCGAGTGCTGCCCCAGCAGACAAGCAGAAAGCGTCGTCATGAACGACGACTGCTGTCCCGAACTCTCTCGTGTAATGATGAGCCCCCCCCCCAAAAGAAGTAATACATTGACGTACAAGTACATACATGTCACCAAAGGACAAAATAAAGCATCGAATCAGCAAACGCACGTTGCACATCCGCGGTACGTAATATATATATAAAAAAATTGTTTTGTCTTCACTTCAAATCAGCACTCACAGCACTAGTGTCGTTTTATTCCAACCCGTGGTCACACAGAAGGGCCCTTCTCTACCCTGCCCTCCTGCGGTACGTTGCCTTCGTACGTAATATGCATCGCACAAAAATATACAAAAAGAAGGAAAATAGAACGAGACAGCAGTTGTAGCGCGCGTCAGGCCAGCAGAGGCGTCGCCATTCTTTCGCACCGAGTCGCCGCCTTCGTACGCAATTTACATCGCCCAAACAAAAAAAAAACACCGGAAAAAGTAAAACCGAACGCGAAAAAGCAGTCAACACCATAGCGCGCAGCAGAGGTGTGCTAACGTACCGAGCCGCCGCCGTCGGCGCAGAAGGACTTGAGGAACCAGTGCGTCTTGTGGGCGAGGCGGAGGTCCGACTCGCACAGCTCCAGCAGGAAGCCCACAAGGGGGGCGGGCCGCACGAAGTCTCCGAGGGCGGCGACGATGCAGAGCTGGGGCAGATAAAACTCCACCTTTTTCCGAGAGAGGGGGGAAGGACACCGGCCGGAGGGGGAGGGGGCGAAAGCACAGGTGTTGATGGGTGTGCTGTCTGCGCTATATAGTTTTCTTGTCGGCGGAAGAGCGAGCGAGCGAGCGAGCGAGAGAGCGAGCAAGCGCTTGGGGGTGGTGTATGACGTGACACAACAAGGCGTCGTGATGTGGTACGTATGACGACCAGAGATCCCAAAGGCGAAGGTCCACGGAAATTCAGACAGACCCATATGCGGTATGTGTGACGACCAGAGCTCTCGAGGTCAAGCTCTACGGAAAGTTTCCGAAAGGTGACGGCAGCAACAAAAGACCGGAGACCAGATCATGCATGCCATGCCGTTTGTAGCACTATATGTTGTTCACCACGGCTCTGGTGTACCCCGCGTGGGTACATTCCGTCCGTGTTCGTTCAAAGCAGGAAGCCGGGGAGGTAAGCGAGAACTGACCCTTGACAGCGAGTGACGACAGTCACGCGCGAACGCAAGAAAACACGTTCTACCTCTCTCCATCCGGACGATTGGTCCTTTGCCGCGGCATACCAGGTCGCGGTTGGGTGCGCTTGGTTCGCACGGGTCCTTGACACAACACGACCATGAACCGGCACTCTTTCACGACCTCAGCAGTTGTAGGAAAGCTACAACAACAACAAAACGAAAAGCGGCAGCATAAGGTCACTCTCACCTAAGCAGTACCAGTGGTATTCTCTTACAGAGATATTCTCTTACACAGAGCAGTTACTTCTGCAGAGCGGAGAAAAGAAAGAAAGGCTCACCTCCGAAGGGAAAGCCCGTCGAGCCTCCCGCAGCTCCCTCACTAAGGCCTTCGCCTCCCCCTCCCAGTCCCCGCACACGGCAGCGGCCCCGTCGGCCGCCGCGGCAGCCACCCCCCTGGCGGAAAACCCTCCGTCGTCCCCTCGATCATCACGCCCCCCATCATCATCCTCCTCCCCGCCGCCGACGATATCTACAACCACTAAGCCGTTACTCCCTGCGGTGCCGCTACCGCCAACGCCGGCGGCCGCTGACCCCCCCGTCGTCGTCGTTGCCCCCGTCTTCGACAGGGCTTCCATCTCCTCCTGCCGCTGTCGCCGGCACCGCTGTTGCTGGGCGTACAGAGCGAGGACGAGGGGGAACACGACATCGTGCCCGCCGCTGTGGCTGCTCGCCGGCCATGCATCTTGCGGGACCGCTGCTGCTGCTGCTGCTGCTGCTGCTGCTGCTGCTGTTGCATCAGCGCCACAGCAGAAGTCTCCGGCTTGCTGTCGCACCGCCGCCGCCGCCGCCTCCGCCGCCGTCGCGAGTGGCAGGGGAGCTGAAGCCTCGGCGGAGCGACTATCTCGAAAGCTCTCGAGACCGGACATCCATCTCGCAGAGCGGTGGGATGTGGGTATTCCTTCTTTCCTTCTTTGATAGGTGTTGCTTGCTGAGACTGCCAGCATCGCACGGACAGGGAAGGACAAGGGGGGGTACGGACGCGGAGGTAGTTGCTTGGTATCGACCACCCTCGTGGTGGCGATGACGGTCGTCCAACTTCTGCGTTGACCGTTTTTCGTGAGCCGAAACACGAACAAAAAGGGCTTCGCATGTCGGAGTGTGGTAGAACAGGAGAGAGAGAGAGAGAGAGAGAGAGAGAGAGAGCTGTGGGCGCCAGTCGGGCAGGTTGCGACGCCTACGGGGAAGCCACATGTGCGGCGGTACGGTATAGTGCAAGGGACACAGTATAGGCCAGACACTAAAACCTTGAAACCTTGAAAGCATAGCTACTTTAAATCCCCACCCTGGTAGGCGGAAAATTTTGACACTTCAGTCTAGAACCACACCAACACAGCAGGCACAAAGGACGCTACCGCGGTACTCCACGCATCACGTCCTTGTCTGCATCAAACTAGGAGGGACCCTTGGGACGTCTCTTGCTGCAGGTGGCCAGCCTGCCACACTATCCACGAGCCATGAAATAGACAGGTTTCGTCGTAGGACAAGCCAACCCACGTGCTGGCTTTAGGCATCGCCGTGCTCCCTCATCTCGTTTGAAAGAACGATGTTATTCTCGGGGCGCAAGAGTTCATGATGCAACGGGGAGTGCGCCACGTACGCTGTGAGGGCATACTAATTCAGCCTAGGAAGGCTAACGACAACACAACAACGACGGCTTGTTGAACCTCTGCTATGCCTTGGGCGAGCTGTTGAGCAGCAACGAGCCGGCGTGAGCAGGGACTGGTCGGGAAACCAAGCTCTTGCACGGGGGAGCGAGGGTGAAAATACATTCTACTAAGACCGTGCCCATTGGAGGCGAGAGTCACACTACGCAAAAGGGGGGTGGAAAACCATTTTGCTGTTCCCTCCGCTCAAGAGAAGCGCACACCCGGACGACGCAAGTGTCATACCCCTAGCTGGAGCCTTCGAACCCTCCAACACCGGCATCAGACACAACTACAGAGCCTCCGACTCGGTAAACTTGCGCCCTGTCGCCGTGTGTCTTTTCTTTCTGCTGGGAGAAGAAGACGTTGAGTTTGACGGGAGGGGGTTCCGTACAAGAGATTCGTCCTCGTTGTTATCTAGTCTAGGAGAGCCGCATTTTCGGACTTCGCAAGCATTCACCAGCACAGCGTGCAGCGCGTACCAGGCAGCCGTCATTGATACACGTCGACACCAGTACAACCCTTGACTACCGTGGCTTTTTACCGTGGTTTTAGCGTCGGTGCTCTCTGGTTCGGCTGGTGGGAAAGCACCCGCACCGCCGTGTTGTTCCGCATGTTCAACTACCGCGGTGGCGGGAGAGGGCTGTGTGCAACAACACGCTCTTCAAGTCATTTCAATCGAGAGAGATGCGCCCCCCACGCTCTGCTCTCCCCACGAACCTTGTGTCGGCTCACCCTCTACAGAGTCGTGAGCAGTTTTCCCAGCGAGAAAATGCCAGGCGCTGACTACGTGTCTGCTAACAAGCCAAGGAAAGGCCCTTCCCACAGGTCCGCTGTAGACTACAACTATTAACTGCCTGTAGACTGCTATTGTACTCTAAGCATACGTGGCTTTTAAAGCGTCACTCTCATCACTCTCCTTCTCCGAACGAAGGACGGTGCAGTCGTGTTGAAGTTTCCTCTCCTGGGAAAGAGTAACCTACCCCATGTACTCGGCCTACCTCGAGCCTGACGTTGATCCAGCACTGCACAGGCGTTGAATGTCACCGTTTGTTACGAGAAATCAAATGAAAAAAGTGGCTGTGTGTGCCCTTCTGCTACCTCCTTCGATTCGCCGGGACCCCTACTTTTTATTTTTTTTTCTAAACCGAAACCGTCCTCTCCTCATGATATGGATACTGCAGCTGGCAGCATCGGCATTCCGTGCGCATGTTGTTGTTGCTTCTGCAGGAAAAGCCCATCCAAACGGCGAGTTTGCTTTTCGTCCTGGACTCGCTCGTCCTCAGACGTCAGCCGAAGGAAGCGAGGCGGTGTACGGTGGTGCACACCAAACACGTGTTGGCATACTTCAACCGTAGTCAAAACGCTGGTGTGAAGAGGCGCCTCGAAAACCTGTTCGCGACCACCATTCGTTCCGCCGGTCCCTACCATGAGCAGACGCCGACTTCTAGAAATTAGCGAGAGGAACATCAGCAGTGGCACCGATGGCGAGCAGAAAACCGGAGATCAAGACGACGACACTACAGCACCAATGGCAGTGAGCGAGAAAGATCTGGCCGAGCTGTGCCGGATGGATACTTGGGATATCAAGAGCATGATCCGTCCGGATACCACGCGTATTGGAAAAGCGTTCGACTCAATGATGGAGGGGGTAAAGGCAAGTGGTACAACTGCAATATGTGCATTTGAAAATGTTCACTGCTCGCACCTCACTACGGGGCACAAACTGTCCGACAGAACGTGGGCGGCAGCAAGTGGTAGACCGTAAAGCCTGAATCATGTGACATGCGGATACCGAGACGATCGCTATCGTCTGCCGACCGTTCAAAAGCACCTGCTGCGTTCGGGCGTACGACAGTCATCTTCCTATTTGTGATAGGGCATTGTAGTCAGTTGGTCACACGCGAACGGCAAGTGCTCTGAATCTAGTCAAAAAAAGCCTAGCGCATACCGAAGTAGTTCAAAAAAATCTCGTGGTTGTCATTGGGTTCCACCAATCAATCGTGAGTACACCGACATGCATTTCACTCTCAGTCCAGCATTGAACCCATAGACTACTGTACAACCATTTCTTAAAATTGCAGTGGAAATTTCTCTCGTCGCTTGTAATTTGCCACGCAACTCAGAGAAGAAGCCTCAAAAGACATCAAGACCCGAACATCGCCATCGAACGCTGCTTCACGGCGTTTTCTGGGCGTGGCAAAACCTCGCTGACCACCCGTGAGGTACGTACAGTGGTCTTGACACAGGGGCGAGTTGCAGGCACCCCTGAATGTTGTACTTCGTACATCATTTGCATCGGAAGTCCTGTTGTCGATGTAGGGGATTTGCGCCAACCCCTCTATGCTGCGCATGCCCCGCACTTTGCACATGAGCGAATGGAGAAAATCGCATGCATACCTATTTAGAACAGTGTGCACTTCCCGATACGTATCCCTCGTGCCTTGGGTGGTTCGCCCTAACACCACGCCGTCCTTGGGTCGCACAAACTTCAATGGTTTTGATACCAACACTCGGCCAAAGTTCGCCAGGCGGCTGAGTACGCTGAGCATGGAGTGGAGCGGCAACTTCTCCAAGGAGGAGTACCTTGCCCTTGCCCAGGACATCGGCGAGGGGGACACCCCAGGCATCGTCACCCTCGAGTCTTTCAAAGTCGTTGCGGAATCCGGCTCCGTGCCCCTCTATCCGGAGTATTCACCGCGCCGCAAAGAAAAGGGAACAACCGTGGTCGACAGTTCGGCGAAAAATACCTTACAAGACCCCAGCGGTCTTGATGATGGCGGGGGTGGCGAAGCATGTCATGTGAGTTCCGCATCGGGTTTGACAGAAGGGCGGACTTGAGGTAAGGCCGGTGAGTTGGGGTGTTGGGCATCGACAATTTTGGGAGGCACGTGATGGGGTGCACTCACGTCCAAGGTACTGCGTAGTGCTTCCTCGGCCCTCCCCATGAAAAGGCTGCTTAGCGGGAGGCTTGTCCGTATCCCACCTGTCCTGCAATATGTAGCACAATAGATCAATATTTGGCTGGAGTTGCTTGTTTCCTTACCTCATACCACTTGTTTGTTGGACGATTCCACCGCTATTCCTCGGGAATCACCCGATCCAGGTAGCTGAATTTGACGACACGGCTAGGGACGAAAGTAGGTCGTGCGCACGAAGAGCGAAGGGTGCGGGGGGGAGCGGCACTGCTGCCCAGGAAACCTTACACGTAACCCTGCGAAAGGCGGCTTCCCAAGCTAGGTGAGTTTCACTTCTCCAGATTTGGCGCGTGTATTTTGTAGCGAAGCTTCCTTGCAGACGCCGTTTGCTCTGGAAATTGTGTTATTTCCGCGAATGTCGGCTAAACAGTCCACAGGACCAAGGCTGAGGAAGGGCTTCCCTTCATGGTTCGGGCGGTTGTGAAGGTTGTTTGGAAAACCAATTGCGCTCAATCGTTGCATCGAGCATGTTCCAAGTATGTCACTAGGTCCTCATTCCCTTGTTTTGGACAAGACTAGAAGTGAACTTCCCTTGCCGAAGCGCTCGATTCAGGGATCCAACATGGCAACTTCTCGAATGCCTATGATATTGAGAGGTATTCCCCCTGCACGCCATACTAAAAAAAGCAAGACACCGGCTTCCCTTGGAGCATCTCACCCCTTTCAGCCGCGCGTCAACTTGGCGCTCGGCTTGCTTGCCCACCCTTTTCTGGTTTCCGACTACCCCCTTCATCAGGTCAGCTGGGCAAGATGTCTGGAAGCTGCTCGATGACAGCATCCAAGCGGGTCTCGCGGAGACCCAGCCCAGCGAAGATGACAAAACGCTCACGAGCGACGACGTGGCCGCGCAACCATCTGTCAGCCAGGACGTTCTCCGCCAATTCTTGTCGAAGCTCGACGTCCAGGTACTCCCGTCGCCGGTGCTGTCGTCACCCTCCCGCCCGCAGTCGATCGTGCCCCAAGGAGGCGACGAGGCGGCAGTAGTGTCATCGTTCTTGTCGATCAGGAACGCGTTTGAGGAAAGAAGCAAGGATTCGCGGGGAGGGAGCCCAATCAAACACGGAGCACTGGCTCCATCGCCGCCGTCGCTGTCGTCCGCCGGCGGCGCGTTGGCCTCGGAGGGAGAGAGGGGGCGAGCGGCGGCGGTATCCTCGGCCTGCGACCGCTACCTGCGGATCCTTTCGAGGGACGCCGCGAGCGTGCGCTCCCGCGTGCAGCTCTACAACCAGGAGCTCGCACGCATGCAAGGGGAAGCCGAGTCTCTGATTTCGCATTCGGCCACAGTCAATAAGAGGATCTCGCCGATTTCGGCGGGACCTGATGCTGATGGCGGCTGCGAGCAGCCCCCGCGCGTGTCTCTTGACGCGAGTACCGGCAGCGGTTCCCTGTGGGCGTCCCCCGGTAGCGTCAGGACGGGAGGAACAAGGAGCAGATGCGGCGACGGTGGCAGGGGAATTGCCGTCATCCCGGTCGAGGTAGGCGGCAGGACGACAGAGATGGCCGGGGGTCGTCGTGGCGGCGGAACCGTGAGTGTAGTCCCCTCTGACGGACCTGTCTCGGCGTTCTCGAGAATCAGCCCCGTGGAGAGAGCAGACCCCAGCCACCCTAAGCTGGAAATCAAACGGAGACCCTGCAGCACGCCCAGGAGAAAGGAGGCAGGCGCACAACCAGGATCACCGTCGAGCCCCGCCCGTGGTGGCCTGGGGCGATACCCGGGTCATGGCGGCGGTGGTGGTGGGGTTGATGGTGAGCCTCGGACGCCCGCGGGTGTACACGGGGGGGAAAGTACCGACGACAACGGAACCAAGATCGTTAGGAGTGACCGCGTCGCAAAGCTGCTGCTAGCGACGCTTGCAGGAACGATCGAGAAGCGCTCGCTGTCTCCAGTGCCTCCCTCCCCTGCGTTTGAAGAAAGAAGAATAGCTGTTGCGCCCAAGGCCGCTTGCTTTGACCGTCCGTCCGTCCGGAACGGGCTGGCGGGGCTGACCGCGGATGAGGTGGACAAGGTGTTGCTGAGGGTGGAGGCGTCTACGCCTGGGGCAGTGTCGAGCTGGAAGTCTCCGGCGAGTAGCAGAAGAGGGCCGCAAACCTGCGGGACGGAGAGCTTAACCCCGTCTACAGGCGGCTGGGAATTGACGGCGGAGGCGCAGCAGCGGCATCGACAGAGAGACAGAGCTCGGGATGATAGCTTTGGCTGGTTCGACGCCGAAGGAAGTCCAAGGTTTTTGGGATCAAGTGGAAAAAGAGGGGAGGGAATAGCGGGAAGGATCATATCTGGAGCAGAAGGAAGGGGAGGCGGAGGGACAAGGAGAGTCAGGCAGATGATGAAGATCACCCAGCAACCGCAGCAAATGCCGCAGAATCACGAGGACAATGGCGTGTTTCGGGTCCCACCATCAACAGGTCGAAAACCGATAGACCGAAGAAATACGTGAGTGACATCCGAAGTCATTGGTTACTGCTCTGTTGGGTCTGTTGCGAAGGCAACTGTGTGGTTAACAAGCAATGGTACTAGGCGTGAGTCAAGCTCCCAACGGATGGGGAAAAGCGAGTAGAGACATAGTGCCAGAGATACGATGGTAGGGGCTTGCGGTCGTCGGTTTTCGACGTCAGCTGTCAACGGCGGGCATTTGAAAGGGCTTGGCCCCCGAGTGGATTGAGGTGTCTCCGAATGCAGCACGCGCTTTTCTGCTATTGCCCATTGCTGAACGACCGCTGGCAATCGTTCTCCACCGCAGGTGGGGCATCGAGCAAACGCAATGGGCTGGCTCAGGCGAAGAACACCAAGACGCCAGCGAAAACTTCATTGGGAGCAACCCGATGTACACGCACCAGGAAGACGTTGCCGAGAAACGCACTTTTTCCGCTCAAAAGCACCACGCTTCTCCCAAGAAGGCCGGTGTCGCCAACCCATCCGCCTCCCGATCATCTGCTGTTAGTCAAGGGAACAGTAATCACGAAGGCCACTCTTCAACCGCCACCGCGCGTAACACACGCCGTCCCGTGCGGGCCTTCCAGCGGCTAGACGAAGACGTATACGACGGCTTCCTTCACTGTGCCAAGAAAAACACCGGCAAGACTAATAGCAGGGGGTTCAGGAAGGCTTTCGGAGATGGATGATTTTTGGCGATCTTGCCGCCCCACCGTGTTTTTTGCTGATCGGCGCTAAGTTACAGTTTTGCCAAAAGAAAGAAGCCCTCGCGGGAGGAGTTCGTTGTGTAGTGTAGGACCACACCGTCGGTCTGTCGTGATAAAAGCATTCAGCTGATTTGCTGTTCATTGCGTACGCCATGCAACACCAAGGGTTGCGGTACCTTGCGTGAAACAGACCGTAAGTTTCGCGCAACCGAAGCCAGGTTTCGATAGGGCCCAGAGGGCGCACTGGCAAAAGGGTGGTGTCGTTGAAAACGGTAGCAGACTAGACCTGCAAACGTCTTTGTTTTTGTTGTTCATCGTACATTTGTTTCTTAATGTGGTCGGTTTTGCGTCTAATTTCACAGGTTTGTCTTGTCGAGAAATCTTGAAAAGGTTCGGCTTCACACTACTCATTGGATGACGATAGATGACATTCGATGTTCTGTGTTGAGAGTACAAGCAACATCAAACCCATATCATCGCCATGTTTTGTTCGGCCACGTCGGTTGTCTCGTGGACTTTCGATCTCCTTTCGGAATCTGAGACGAAAACTGAGCTGGAAGCGAAGAGAAAACTGGGCATACCATGCACGGCCAAAGTGCTACGCAAGCGGGGCAGAATGCTTGTTGCTCGCAGCTATCCTCAGGTACTACAAGTAAGGGTGTGGGTTTGACTGAACCTACTCTCAGCGAAAGGAGTGTGCCCATGCACTGTCGGGGTTCGCTCGTCTAAGTTGTTGCAATCGATTTTTTTTGTCATCGTCACCCGTATTTCAATCAAGGCGTCGTCTATTGTGCGGGCAGGGATGGCTTTCGCCTTTATGTGGTTCTACATGATTCATTGAATCCTTTTTAGGTTTTTGTGCGAGTTCTACGCTACAAAGATTGAGTGGAAATGCACACGTATCGTCACACCGGGAGCGCTGGTGCTCACTTTCTATCACGTTTCACTACCTTAGCCTACCCCCAACCCCCCCTTAAAAAATTCCAACCCCGAGGATACAGAATGCCCACCACCAAATAAGTTGAGGGTTGAGACGTTCAGGCTCAAGAAAACAGAACTAATAGAGTACTTGACCATCAGAACAGAATCTCAGTTGAGAAGCTTATACTAAAAACCTTTTCAGTCGATGTCGGGTTACCCCGAAGAGGAAACAAGACACAAGCCTTCGGCATAATAAGAGGTTCTAAAGTGATGGCGCGTGCTGTATTCCAAACGGAAAACAGCGTACTGCTGAGGGCGACGATAACAAGCTCGCACCCGATCATGATGAACTCCTTGGCCGCCAGCACGTTGGTTCCTTCCAGCGAAATGGCCTGCTTGTCCGTCAGGGGAATTGGTAGTCTCGAAAAAATAGTGGACCATCTTGTTTACAGAAAAGACAAAACTCTTTGAGGAACAGCACACTCCCTCAAGGTACAATGCTGCAGCCTTAAAATCAACAAGCGGGATGCACACAAGGGCTCCCCCCAGTCCCTGTCGCCTGGGTATCGTCGCGTTCTTCGTGTCAGCCGTCCTTCCTGCGGAGTCTTCTTCTCCTCGTACCTCTGGTCTTCGTATCTCTCCCAAGCACGAGATTCGCCAGCTTCTTGACCTGTTGCAGCGGGAAGCGCGACGTGTACGAGAGAGGCAATAGTGGAACAGCGGGAGAGAAAATAAGGGAACCGGGGGGGGGGAAGGGAGGGAGGACGAGGCGGGGGGGGCAGATCAGGGAGAGGGGAGGCGAGGACAAGGGAAAAAACTGAAGAAAACAAAATGAAGAAGGCCAGGGAGGGGACGTGTGATCAGCTGGAAAAAATGACCAACACGTTCCCCGGGCGACTCATGGACACATGACAATGACTTCACCCAATTTTTTGCAGCGAACGCGCGATAGCATAACAAATGCGTTGCTTCGCGATGTTGGAACAGGTTAATCGTCTTATGTTCATCGCCAAAACCCCGCAAAAGCGTGTCTTGGTTTTTGGTTCTCCAAAATTTGCACAACCGAGAGGTTGTTGACAGTATCAAACAACGAAAAAAGCAGCAACGGTAGTCATTGCAAGCACAGACCTATGTCCCCCAAAGCCTACCAAAACTGTTCTCCTTTCGTGATAGACAAACTTACGTACTTTCGCCTGGAAGCACAAGTAAAACAAGCTTTCGCTTGACACTCGTGGCAAAGCATGATTTCGTTTTGATCCATGATTTCGTTTTGATCCTGTAGGGCTGAGCATAGTACAAGGACTCTCAATCCTCCGTCCCATGCAATGGCAAACAAGGCGTAACACTGAGTCTTTGCCTCCGTCCAATGCTGCAAAAAACGCGGAACATTGTGTCTTCTTTACCGTTGTCCTATCGACGAAAGTGTCCCGCGCGTCCTCCTGCTCTCCCTCGCTTTCCTCCTCGGAATCGGGCTCCTCCTCGTCCGAGACGTACTCGGGCCCCAGCAGGATCTTCATCTTGATCCTCTGCGGGCGCGTTGTTGTTGGTGACGTCATTGTTTTTGCGGATCACACCGATGGTGTCATTAGAAGAGAACAAGAAAGTACAATACCAGTCTCCGGGCAGGTGGTGAATCATGAAAATATATGGGTGTACGGGTGAGCCATCTGTATTGGATCAGGGTGAAAACCAGAAAAACCACTTCTTACCCTGCACGGTTTAAAGTGGTGTGCTGCTGCATGTGCAAGTATAAGGATTGTGATGACAAGTAGAGCATCTCGGATGTCCAACACAAACGTAGAAGTTCACACCGGAAACTTTCTAACCAAAAAAACTAGTATACGGGAACCGGAAAAGGAAACCCTCATCGTCGTGTTCTCGACTTGCCTTTTCGATACCCGCGTCGCCGCTCTTAGTCGGCGTCACCCGCACGTTTCTCGGTGAGGTGTCCGGCTCCGTGCTCATGATGTTCGCATACAGGATCTTTGTGACGCTGGCATTGTCCAGCTTAGAGAACTTCCGCAGGAAGCGCGACAACAATCCAAAGAGGTTGGGGGGCACGCCGAGATATAGAGGGAAGAGGTGGGTGGCAAAGGCGGAAACGATCGATGAGAGTTGAGCGCGATGCAGACGGGGACCAAGCTGCCACCACGGAGCAAAGACAAGGTAGAAAGAAGGACCTGCTTGGTGCTTTTGTCGTACTTCTCCGTGCTGCTGTGTGCTGTGTCTTCTACGACCCGCTGCTGCCATGTGCGCTTTCGTGCCACAACCAACTTCGTTCTGCTTACGTATGTACCCAACACGTACCACATCCTTGGAAGACGAAGGGTCTCCGCCTCCCCCGCCCGAGCCCCCGACTCCCCCGCCGCCCCCCCCGCCGCCGCCGCCTCCGCTCGCTGCTCCCGAGTCTCCTGCCCCGCTGCCGCTCCCGCCGCGATCATCCTTGACGAGTGCGGCGCTGACCGCTTTCATCATGTGGGTTATCTTCGAGTCCAGCTGCGCGAAGACCTCGGGCATCTTAGACTGCGGCGCAACGGGGTGGGTCTTGCTGTCCACCTGACTCATGACCGAGATTCAGAGAGAGGAGAAAGGCAGGAGAAACACAGGAGAGATGGAGGAGAGGCGTCAATGCTTTAAATAAAACAGAGAAGGGATAGTTGGTGTGCCGTTTCCGGAACAGGTGCCCAAGGGGGGGGGAGAGGGGGAGAGCACTAGTACCGTCATTGTGGCACAGCTCGGGAGAGGCATCGTGCTCTCAACGTAGGTATTGGCCTCCTTCCGGCCCGTTGTATCATAGACTGCTGGGCGTGCGGACACCTGCCTACAGCCGAAGAAAAACAGTCGGAACGCAGGTACCTCGCAGCAGTAATGTTGCACAGATTTAAAAAAGGATAGGGTACGATGAACGAAACGAACCATTCGGAGTTCGCCTCGATAACCCCAAGCAAAGACTGGAAGGGGACGAAATTCCTGCTGCCGCACTGACAACCCACCTTGCTCATGAAACGAGAAAGAGCGTCCCTGAGGCGGTCAACGGTGACGCTAAGCCTGTTGGCTCTCTCCTTGGCGTCGTCGCACTGCTTCCGAGCCGACCCAAGGGCGATGTCGATCAGATCTACTTCCTGATACATGTCTCGGTTTCCGGAAGTGGCCTCCTGTCTGCGGTGTAGATCCTAAAAGCGACGGTGATTTTGCACGATATTCGCCACCAAAAATGGAGCGAATCCGACGTTGAAAAATGCAGGAGTGGGTTTGGGGATGGAAGGGGGGTGGACGTTACAGGCAGGCGTTCCTGGAACAGTTGTCCGCTCCGGTTGCTGCTTGTTGTGAATTCGATGGAAAAGGGAAAGCCTGCGTGGAGACAGTTGACGCTGTCCAACGAGAGGCTTGTTCGTGCTTCGTTTGCAAGCTTTTGTACCTCGGATGGCGTTGAAACCATCCTGTTGGGGACGTGATTTGCTGTTCAAAGTACTATTGATAGTGTCGGGTAGATGTTGGTTGTTTCTTTTTCTCAGTTCCAAGCAATCGTTTAACTTCGTATCGTGGTTCCGTAGTCCGAGGAAGGACCGCCTTCATGGGAAAGCCGATGCCCGACATGTCCACGACATGCTCGTCGTATAATGCTGCTTGCTTGTTATTGTGCTGCCGTGATCTAGCTCTTGGGGGGCTAAAGAACGTCGTCCAGTTCAGGGCTTTTCTCACATCCCGCCATTGTCGCTGCTGATGGTTCTCCTTCCTGAGCGACTCTATGCGCTGACGGATCTCCTCCGCCATCAAGTGCAGCTGCTGGTTCTTTCCTGCGCGCATCTGATACCTATCGATACACGAGAGGTACCAAAATGAAGCGGACATCGGTTACACCGGGCGACTTGGTGTCGATTCGTAGAATGGGGAATTTGTTCTCGCCGACCGACTTATATCTGGCATCTGGAGCTAGCGGATGCCCTCCTCCCGTGCCCCAAGACGGACAAATCTACCTTCGTTCAAGGTTAATATCTCTCTGCCACATGCAACAGGATGTCACGCGCCGTTTCTTCTTTTCGTGTGTGCGTGGAACAAGGGCGCACATGATTTGTCCATGGTGATCGGTCATAGTTTTGCGTGTTATCACGTTCTTCTGAATGTCTGGGCGAAATTCGCCGGGAGTTTCAACTCCAGGTTGCAGGGAATCTTTGACGGAGCTACTTTCTATTTTCGTGTTTGAAGTACTATACCCCATGGTCGTCCTGTCACTCCCAAAAAACTTCGTTGTTTGTTTCATTCGGTCCTACCTTTCTATGATGTCGTCAACACCGGCCAGCCCCGTGGTGTTCTTGATCTGCTGGAAAGAGTCTTCCAGCGCCCCCAGGTGTCTCTGCTCGTCCTCCACCTTGCTTGCACGAAAACCAGGAACATTCGTGTTCGGGTCAGTAGTAGCAGAAGTTATGGTTTCGACGCACCACGTTTCTCGGAGAGGCACCGTTTCAAGCTCACGCCCATCCCTATTTTCGTCCGGAAATCACATCTAGCGTTAGATGCAGTTTTCAACCCCACGTTTCAAATCAGTTCAGATGTGACACGTTTGCCTCAGGTGTGGGAGTTTTGTGGTCTAGTGGTTCGACATGCATTTTTCACCTTCCTCTGAAGGATGCTGCTGTAGACGTTTCGCACGACGATAGTGCGCGCCAGTCTCTCCTCCTCGTCTGACCGCATGGCTCCACCGGACTGAAGGCATCAGGGGGGTTTGGAGCGGAACGGCATGGATTCCGTTGCTGTTGTCGTCGTGTTGAGGTGTCTAAGTGTGGTGAAACCTGAGCGGTTGGGTACGGAATAATGAGCTGCTTGCCGCAGCCGTTGTACTGTATACCATCAAAACGGCGGGATTCACGTTGGACGGGTCACTTTCCCGGTTGAAGGGGCATCGCAGCACAGCATCGTGTGAAGGGGGGAGCGGGGTCCACTACTGATCAGGGTGGAGAGGGGGTCCGAAAGTCGATTGACTGTGTGTGGTTGTGCGCGATACTCGATCCCCGCGGAGGGGGAGATCCCGGACACACAATAATTCGGCGGTGTATTTTGCAATATATCTACTCTCGACCCAACAGAAATGCAGCGCCGGCTAGGATGCCGCGCGGGATTCCACGCGAAAGCAACAAGGCCAAAGGTTGGTGGGCTGCACGTTCTCCACGGAAACGTTTTGAAAAACGAAGTGGTTGTAGCCACTCAGACTGCAGTTATTTGCGCTTTCCAGTCATGAGCCTATTTCCTGGAAACCTGCTCCGAACCATTATGCGTGAGTGCCACGGAATGACAGCTGCCTCCCTGCCAGGCGTTCCGAATCCCACAGTATCGCAAACCTGCCAACACCTGTTGGGGCTTCCCGACATCGTTTGATGCCGGACTGCACATGAGCATCATTTCTTTCCCGCGTGTCTTCCGAAAGCTAAATACCTTGGTCAACAGGTCGTCTCGCTGGTGGATTCGCTCCTCCTGGTTGAAGAGCTGCACGCTTCTCTCCTCCATCACCTGCTGTAGCCCCGCGAGGCTTTCGCTCTGCAGCATCATCCTTTGGTTGACCTGGTTGCGACACGTGAGGGACACACCACAACCACAAATCAACCAAGGGATGAACAGCAAGTCAAGTCTCGAAAAATGATATCCTCTTGTTTTATTCCCGTTCCCCACCGTGGGTGACTTCTCGCGACCATAGAACCCTGAATGTTTGCTCTCAGCGCTACTGACGCCAAAACTTGAGTCGTGCGTACGTTCAACGAGGCACGTTTGTATCGAAACATGTGACTGCGCCATGCGCAGATGAGAGATTTCTTATTTCTCAGTTCTAAGCCTCTAGCACTGTGTGCGTCGAAGACAGGGCGTTGAGAGGCCGGAGAAGGGGTGGATTACGAAGAAAGCCGTCAAATCCAAAGCCAAAGACGAAACTCGAGCGGTGGCTTATGCATCTGTTCCGCACCCCGCAAATCATGTTGCCGCCTGTTGTTGCTGCGTATATGTAGTCTGGTACCTGAAGAACCTCCTTCTTTCTGAGCTAGGAGATTCTCACTACCTTCTTTCTGAGTTTTTCCAGTCTTTCCTCCTCGGTTTTAAGCTCCTGCCGGCTCTGCTGTAGGTGAGACTCGCTCGACGCCGCCTCACTTAGGGTCGCCGTCAGTTGTGCCTGGGTTGTCCTCACGGCTTGCTTGACGTCAACCACTTCCTGCGGGTCAGGGAGGAAGGGAAGGGCCGATGTCACGGACGCCAACATCGACCCGCCGCTCTCCCCCTTCACGTCCTATCACCTCGTGTTCTCCGCACTTGCAAGCCGAGAGGGAGGTTGTTGTTCTTGTCGCTTGTGGCAGGCAGCGTGGAAGCGTTTGCAAAAACGGGTAAATCCTATCCCGAAGCGTGACACAAACGAGACCTGCACCTACAGAAACAACGATTGCTCATCTTAGCCACATACTTTGGTTATCCTTTTCACGATGAACTCCGTCGTTTCCTTCGTGATCATCGCGTCCTGATGCCTCTTGTCGGTGGCTCGGAGCTCTACCTGGAGTCTAGCCAGCTGTCGTTCCGGCTCCGTTCCTACCTTTTTCACCTGCCCCGCCCAGTGGCAGACCACGAAATGCACGTAAATGGCGGGGGGTGTTCAGTTGTTGAAGCAGTTCTACACTAGACCACTACACAGCAGTTTCATATAGAAACCATGTGCGCCGTACATTTCGTTTTGGTGTTGGGAATAGTCTCGTTGGCATTGTTCTCTTCCAGAGTCAAGCCGAGCACATGGTTCATGCCGCCTGGCCGACAGGTACTGGAGACTTGGGGCTATGTTATGGTTGTCTTCTACTCACCAAGAGAGTCTTCTTGACAACCTCTAGCTTGTTGAAAAGACCGTCGTGGACGGCCTCGAGCCTGTCTGCTCTAGAGCGAAGCTTGTCGTGTGTCCTCTGAAGCATCTCCAGCTGCCCGAATGATTCCTTCGCTTCCGACTCCTGCGCCATAAGCACCTGAGGGAGCACCCACCCCAGCAAGAGAAAACGTGCGAGAAATACAAGAAACCAATAGCGAGACTTATACACTCTGAGAACAAGCAAGGTAGACTCCACACACTTTCGCCTTTCTGGTGAGCGAATCTGTTGCATATCCTCCGACTTTACGAATCTGTTGCAGCTTCTGGGACGTCCACGGCATACGGTAGATGGGTAACGGAAGCTGCCCCTGCTTTTTTGGTCGATATCGCCTACTTGGGATGGAGTCGGTTTACTGTACGGAAGGCCCACATCCACGAAAACACAGACCTGAACCTGCCAGGCTTACCATTTTTTCGGTGATAAGTGCCTCTACCGGCGCACAGGTGTCGCTTCGAAAGCGAAGCCAGTAAAGACAGCGATAGGCAAAGTCCTACACATGAAAATTTTGGTAGGCCGGAGATGAATATCAGGTCCGATTCATGCTCGGGCGACGAGAAACCTGAAGACTATCGTGACATATTTGACGATTCTAAATCTTCATATTACGTACGTAGACTACAGGCGGAGCAACATACATGTCCGTATTGAGTCAATTGATGGAATGATGATGTTGAAGTCTTCGTGTAGGCTGCCGATAATGCTTCGTCGATCACGTCGTGCCACCTTTGCTTGAACTTCGGAAACGTTGTTCTCCCTGAATACAAGAGAGTTATGTAGGAATCACCCACGCGGCACTTGTACCCCTGCGGCTCTAATGTTGAACCCGCCACATGCGCTAGACTATACTCTGAAGTTTTTGGACATCCCATTTGGCCGTCCCTCGCAATAGGACTACAGGGTCTTTCTTGTCTCTCTTACTGAAGAGCTCCGACCCGAGACTGCACCCAGAAAAGTTCCTCTTGGTTGCTTGTACGCCTTGTTCGTGGCGAGTTGTGTCTAGAAGATGCGAACTGTCGAATGCCACATTTTTTACTTGTCTGGGTACGCAGCACCTTCCTCTTCGTTCCGAAAGCGGTGGTGCTTACAAAACGTGTACTTCTCCAAGTAATACATACTGTAGTTTATCGTACCTCCCGTTTGAGTACATCCACTGCTGTGGAGTCGTCCTCCATTGCCTGGTGCAAGTCTTCCAGATTGACATTTTTCGGGATCTTACTCTTCTCCGCCGCCGCCACCGCAGGTTTGTCTTTCGTGGGAACAAACTTGCGTCCCTTGTAAGTTCCAACGGTGCCACCAGACGTTTGCTCCCCGTTGTTGTGGGCGACGAACGACACCCCATCGCTCGTTGCTAGCATATCTCAATTGTCTCGAGAGAAAAGAAACAGCAGTAGTACCACTGAGAGGGCATATGCGATACCAGAAAATCTCTTGTTTTTCGACTTGCAACGACGCTACACACACACCTCTTCCAAGCCCGCGCAAAAGCGGTCCAACTACCGCTGCGAACGAGCTACGTTATTATCCCTTCAGTGATTTCTGCATGATGATAAATCGTACCGCATTCAGCCCAAAGACGGCGTCGAAGAGGGCAGATACATAGAGAGAACCAACAGAGGGAGGGGAGTCGGGGGTCGGAATATAAAACAAAATGAAACCGTCAATCGTCTGCTGTGAGCTGTGAACGAGACGACGAGACGAACGGTACTCTGTAGACTGTAGACTGTAGACACTAAAGAAAAAAATTGTCCGCAGTTCTTGTAAAACTCCCGACCAACGGAGATTCGGTGCATGTTCCCTGCTCCCTGCGGCTCAAGAAGGGGATTCGTGCATTGTTTTCGCCGTGCCGTAAGTCCGAGAAACTCTCACGCGTAAATAAGGAGCTCGCCTCGCAGAGGCTGATTCTACAATCAATCCGTGTCATGTGGTTGCCTGCAGTTTACATAGGACCAGCATCTGTCCGCAATATGTATAGTGACAATTTTTTGGAACAGAGAGAGAGGCATCCTCTCTGTATGTCTCGTAAAAAAATCCGTGTTGTTTGTATCGTGTGTCCCTCCAATCCTCACTGGACCCTTCGAACCCGGGGGGAAATCAGCGGGAAAATAATTGTAAATTGCCATGTAAATATGTAGTAAATTGTGTGTTGTGTCATCTCGAGCGGGTAGTCTTTCTTTGGTGTATTTTTCTAGAAATCAACCATGCATTGATGATGTGATCAACCATCGCTTGGTGTGCATAATATATATATAATACTGTTGTTGTGGGTAATCCACACAACAGAGAGCAGACGAAGTACTCAATTAATTAATTCTGCGCATTGGATTGTATGCATGTATGTATAGTCGCCCCGGTGGTCTAGTTGGTACCCTCGACACCTTCTTATAGAGGTCAGGTCAGGGGTTCGAATCCCGGCGTAGTAAGCGAGCTTTTCTTGTAAAGTGTGGATAGCACTAACTAGCTCGTGTAGTGTGTACACAGAAGGAAGAGAGTGAGTGCTGAGCTCATCTCGCATTAAAAATCGAAGGCAAAGTACCGCAGGAGGGGGGAGGGTAGAGAGGGGCTCTTCTGCTGTGTGACCACAGGTTGGATGGAGTAAACGGCACTAGTATTAGTGCTGTGAGCGCTGATTTGAAGTGAAGACAAAAAAAATAAAATAAAAAATAAGTTAGATGATGTCTGCTCAAGTCAACCGACCAAACAACAAACCGTTCAAATGACCGAGCGCGCATTATTTGCAACAGGTCTTCTTGCCTGCTGCTTGTCTCCCGAGCGTTTCCTCATCTGTTTGGGTGAGCTCATCACCCTTGTTCCCTCGGTCGCCTGCACTCGGACACATGCAAACAGGTGGGTGTGTGCCTATGCATTGTTGCTGAAGTACTGCATGCATGCATCGAATTTATTTTTTATTTGGTCTTGATTTGGTGCCGAACATACATTCTGGTCTCTCGTACGCCCCCCGGTTATTTGAGGCATTGTTGGCGCTGGTCTATCTGTCTGTCTGTTCAGAACTTGAGGTGTGTTTTACCTCCTCCCCACGGGCTCACATATCTGACGGCATGAAATCTCCTGCATGTACATTGCACGATGATCCAACCGTCCGGGTTTGGATAGTATATATATACATATATATTTTGTCCGAACCGCTACAAGTAAGTCTAGACTCGACTAAATAAATCGCTAAAATTTCGTGTTCTCGACTGCCATTTAGAAGTATCTTCTCAGCTATTAACTACTGTAACCCATCGAGCTCGCGACTGGGTAGATATATATACACCGCGATAGGCTATGTAGCATGTACTCCCGCGATCCCACTGATCACATGCCGCATTGTAGAAATCCAAAGCAACATTTGGCGATTAGACTGCTTTAGACTATTATTATAGCGCTTGCTGTCCCTTGGTAGAAAGAAGCGGCGTAAAAGGGTTTTGCTACATACGTAAGCGCACCTACCTGCTCACCGGCCCGCTCATCAGAATTAATCATGTCCAAAGGCTCAGTTTCTCTCCGTCACCACCGTCGAGCATAGGCTACGGTGTCGGGTGTGTTGGTATTTACAGTACATAGTGTAGGATCAACCGCTGCGTGAGGTGTGCTTTTTTCCCAGTATATCTCTTCCCGTGGATGGAGCAAATTTGAGCCTCATGCACCTTTACTTTCTAGCTGCAGCATGTAGCGAACACGCCTTACAGTTATACAGCTTTAGTTATAGTTGTGCCGCCCCGCAGAGGGGGCTTGATATGACACCCCGGTCGGATTGTCCACTCCAATTATTGATTGCCTTCATCATCGTTGTTTCGCACCTACCTCCGATGATCCCAATCATCATCAGGGCCACCGTCCCTACTCAAGACACCTCTGGCGAAAATTGAAAAATTATCACTTGCTTGCATCTTTGCTTTCAAGGAGGTGCACCCCGTGCAATATGACGGATGGACGCGTGCGATGTTTTTGCACCGGTACCACGTAGACGCACTACCTCGTAATCGCAACACAATTGTCAACATTTTACAGCCGTGCAGTCCCAACAGCAGCGAGCGGTGAAATACTGAATGAGTCGGAAATAAAATCCGCTTGAGACGGGTGAACAAACCGGTATGTGGCGCGGCGTGGTGAGGACAAGCTGCACGCACGTGAATCTCTTACTATGCATATTTAGTTTGGTTGGGTACTACAGTACACGTCACGATGGGTCTACCGGTGTACTACAAAATCGTTCAAATGAAATCGTTGCTGTTTACCTTGCGTTCGAGAGTTTCGCGGAAACCTTCGCGGCACAAACATTCTCCGGCCCGAAGTGTTTTTTTCCCGGAAGCAGCGCTACTTCCAGTAGTACAGGACGCGCCACACTGAAGAACTTAGTCCAGCTCTTGAGCCTCATAAAATCCAAAACCTAAGAACTTGGGCCATTAGAAAAGGTGCTCAGTTCCGACGTGGTATTAAGAACAAGCACCCGCTTTTGTGGTGTACCAACGCGCTTGCAGATAATAACGGAGCCCCCAACCCCTTAGCACTCAGGATGGTGGGGGGTGCAGCGGTTAGTTTCAGATTCGAGAAAGGAGACGGGGGGGCACCTCGTGAAGCAATGCCTGTACGCGCGGAGGGGGGGAGGGGGGGGCATGCTCATGTTTTGCATGCCGTAGCGGTTAGACCGTTGACCACGCGTCGAGAGGACGGAGCATCGTTCCAGCAGGACCGATCAACTATGACCCATCGTTCTTCCTACTTTGTCAAACGTGGCTCAAAAACGTTTCCCCTTTCTTACCTATCCTACCGATATCACTTCCCGCCTTTTCAACCGACTTCATATGCCCCAATACAGCTACCTACCGTCGTCTTCTCCTGGCTGTTCCGTGCCTCAAACATCTCCCTGTGCCTTCCTTGTATCTTTCCCGGCTCAGACATGCATATTTCTCTCTCCTAGTCGTACAACCGGCGTTCGGCAACTACTTCAACCTGGTCTTTGCATTCGGAGCCGCATTTGAACAGACGGAGGGGGTAGTAACCACGCAATGTACTCTTAGTGCCACGTTGAAATCCACCTAGAAAAAACTCTGTTGTGCCCTCTTCATGGGGCAATCGGCGTAGAAATATGAATGAGAACCCGTTGATCCTAGGTCGATCAATAAGAACTTAGAAGAAGGATCATGGGCTCGGTTTGAGGCAACCAATAAGCGTCAAGTCTCACGCAAGATAAGCGGTTCTTTAGTGGTGGTGACAGACGCTGTTACTGTACCCCGTGCGTTGTTCTCAAGGACCCCCGTGCGGAAAGTCAATTATATTGTTTCGATATTCGTTTTTTGCACCCCTGTGCCAATCAAGCGCCAAATTTAAACATAAGTACCCACAAGTGTAGTACGTGAAGGAGGTACTGGAAGAGACATCACGCGTCCGTTTGCCATCAAAAGCTGTGGTCAACGCGTTGGACACACAGACCCCTCGTAGGAACTCCGTCGGGCGGATCTTTCTATCTTCTTTTCCCCACAAGCTCAGTATTTGTTGTAAGAGAGCTAGAGCGAGAGTGTTGTGGGATTGCACGCGTAGCGATCCCTGAAGACCCTTCCTTGGTGAAGGCTCACTTGGTTATTAACCTCTTGGAACACCAGTGCTTGCTGTTGCTTGGCTCTCAAAGGTAGACTGAGCACAGAGGGGGAGGACATGTTCCCTCTAAAAGGAGCCATAAAGGTCCTGTCCCCTGTTTTATCCTTTCATCGGGAGTTTCATCTCCCGCACTCTCCTCTGGGAATTACTTCGCAATACCGTTGACACTACAATTCAAATCCCACAACACTAGCCCACCCTGGAGGTTCTCATACGCAGATACTTGAAACCTAGGAACTTGACAAGTAAATTGTCGAATCCAAAAATGAAAGGATCGAGGATGTGGAGCTCCAAAATACCAAAGTTCACCCTCCCACACCTCTCACACGATGGGTCGCAAGACCATCGTTTGACCTAACCAAAAAAACGATATCGTAGAGAAAGGAAAACACGGGGACTAGGAATGAAAACAGGGGGACAATAGACACAACAAAAGAAAACGTCAACGCTACAAATACCATAACAGGTCGGAACCCAAAGAAAGGAATAAAACGCTGGAAAACACCGCCGGAACGGCGATAACCAACCGTATCGACAAAACGACAAGAAACACTAAGCAGTCGGTGTCGTCCAAACGACTAGAAGCGACACGAGCACTCACGGCTAGCCCGGATAAGCTAACCACAGAGAAATCCTAATGACGCAATACTACTACGACGTACCCAAAAAGGAAAAAAAACAATCATTTCGACAACAAAAACCAGGGGTTGTGACCCAAAATAAGGGCCGACGAAATCAAACCGTAGCAGGGAGCCGAAGAAAGCTCAACCACGCGAACGGCGAACGAAGATGAAACGCAGAAGGACTCGAAGGACAAGACGATGTACCAGACGGAAACAAACCGATCGTCAGAATGACGGGAAAAAGGGGTCGAAATACCAAAACGAAGCCTAACACTGCGCTATCTAGTCAGCAACAATAGCCTACACGTACATGCAAATGGAAGAACCGGACGAGATCAGGGGCGACCTCTAGTCCGCATCCCAAACGGGATAGAACACACACACCACACAGACAGATCCCAAGACACACACGCTTGCCAATCGGCGCATGCCGAATCATTTGGCGGCGAACGCTCCGCCTCCACGTTTCGCGGCATGTCAACATAACAAGAGACAACAGCATCTAGAATGCAAAAAACGAGCGTGGCTGGTGGGGGGGGGGGGAACTTCCGATAGCCACCATAGTTTTTCCGCGAGGCATTGTGGCCGAAGGCACGTACACACCTGCATGCTTGTTTATAGCTTGTCTTGCCACGATGATAAAGATTCTCCTCCTTCCTTACTGGAGAGTTTCCTAGCCCCCGTGCAACCAACCACTTCCGCCGGATGAAGCGGCGTAAACGCAGCCCACGCTTCGCCTTGCCGCCAGGTGCTGCCATGAACAACAAGACATCTTCACGCGTCGTCGGTGAGACTGAAGACGAAGCGGAGATAAATATATTTGTCACGATTTTTGTGAGTTCAGGAAGACAACACAAGTGAAACGTCACCCAAACTACTATTATTGCAGCGTTGAGCATGAACGTATGTCGAGGACCGACACCGGACGTACATACTGGAGGGAGGCGACGAGCCGCGTGCGCTAACGTGACCTGTTCGGGCGAATAGCTTGGATAAGAGAACGCACCGCACGGGCTGAAAGTGGATCGTGGGACGGAGCGCCCGGTGCCATCCTTCTTCCATATTGAAAGTGTGTTTCAACGTCGGAGATATCAGCCGAACCTCTAGACCGTGGCCGCTCCAACTTGCTCGTCGGGCAGGTGTGCTATGGAATCGTAACGGGTACGGTCCTGGCGGTGATGGCGTACGCCGGACTCCCGTTTTTCTTCTACCACTGCTCTAGCTTAAGGTACGAGAACCGAATGCACGAGCCACTACCACTACCCATACGTGGGTGGGCCACCCTCCAGTGGTAGCCTCGCCCGTCTGTTGATTGCACCGTTCGCTATGGCCAACGAGCAACATCATCACCTGGTGCAAAGCTCTCCAGCACGAACAACGGGCAAGGCCGACGCGCGCAAATACTCACCCCCGTATGTGACTCCAGGATTCCTCAGACATCGAATACTCTTCATCATCCCGCGAAAAGGTGTCAACGATTTGCTCGTGCATGCTCCATCGTTTTACATCGACCAACCCAATTACCCTTGGAACAGAGAAGAAGACGAAGCACGTGAAACGAACGACACCGTTAACGCGAACATCAACGCCAGCGGGGACGCAAACTCCCGCCACTTGAATCAGGTCAGTCGAGGAACAAATCTTTCACGGTCCTTGGAATGAAGATTTCGAAATGCAAAGCGAGGTCATTTCGTGCGCGGACGTCGACCAAACACCACGTCACCTTCCACGTCGTGGAAGACCCTCCATTAGAAGTACCGTCCACGTGGAAAACCCACAACTGTTCCTTGAGCAGCTACAGGAAGGAAGAAATTCAGCCCCCGCACCGTCCGGCAGATGGGCTAGAGGGTACATCTGACGGGATACCCTTCACTCCACCGGTGATGCATCATTCCACTCGTCCACTCACCCACAGACACACACACAATTTAGCAGTACGACTCCCATATCGCGGCAGCCTGCGACGTAGAAGTCGTGTTCGAGTATTTTGTCCCGCAGTATGCATACGATGACGGGGTTATCGTTTGTCAGCAGGTTATGAACGCGGTTGATGCTAAATAAAGGGACACCATATACACGCATGCGAGCATCACTCTGAAAAATAGGACTCATAGAGCAGGGGGGGTAAGCGGAGATGACCTTGAAAGAGGGTCACATCTCCTCAACGTCTGTCGGGACCATGCCCTGCATTCACACATCCTTCGCACACACGCTCATCTTGGCGTCTTTTGATTTGACAGCCGCGGTTAGCGCGGTCGATGCCTACTAACGAAACTCACACCCAGGTTAAAGAAGCACGCGGGTATCCACGTGGCCTCGCCTGCACCAAGACTGGAGTGTGAAGTTCCTCCACAACCCATACGCCAACGTCACATGAAGGGTGGGGTCGAAGAGTTAAACCCAAATTTTTCGAGGCACCGGTGGAAGGAATGACCTGTACAAGATGATCTGGTCATACCTCCTAAGCTTGATGTAGGTGAACAAGATGAAAACATCTTCTCTTCCGAGACGATTCTTGTCGGTGGTACCATCGTCCATCCTGCGGCAGATACATGCATTTCATCAATCGCTTCCAAACACGATACCACTGACGTGGACAGAGTAATCGCAAAAGCAACCCGCTATGCACGTACTTCTGGCCCATCCAGCTCCACCCTAACGGTTGCTCTCTCGACGTACGGTCGCTTCGGCATTATTAATACAGCTCTTTTGTCGGAGCTGCATCGCATCATGTAGCCCAGAACGCACACTTGGGGAGCGCACAGTAGGAGACTTTCACGAACAGGCAGACTTTCTTCGACTCAAAGCGCTCGTCAAGAACAACGTTCGAGCCGATTCTTTGAAGGAGTAGAAACAAGATACGAAGGTAGACGAAGCTGTGCAAAAAATATATATCAAGGGCTTCGATCCATCATAACTCCCATTCATCCATCGACAGCGACAAAAACGCAAGAAAATACGCTTTAAGAGCAAGCAGTACGAGAGGTCCAAGAGAATCGCAGGTACAAACAAACGGGCTGCAGCCTTAGAATGCAGAGTAGCCCACTGCGGGGGAATGATCTTAACACCAGGAGCAGATAATACGTCAAGCACGCTACGTTTAGCTCGAATCCGGGGCCTGGACCCTGTCGTCTAACCTCCTCCGCGTCACCCCCTGCCGGGGGAGCCGGATCCCTAGGAAGCACGTTCACGTTCGCGTTTTGTTTCCCGCTGTAAGACTCGCGTCTTTGGTCATTGGTCGGACGGTTAGCGCGGTCGATGCTACTTGAAGAAACTCAAACACCTCCTCCGTGCACACCGCCCACCCGACCACCTAACACCAACATTCCACGACAGGCTGGGTTCGTTGTCTGCGCCACTCTATGCTGGCCTGCGTTGATGCTGGTAGCCTTGGGCGCCGCTCTGATTGAAATCAAGGCCGCATGTGAAAGGTAACTTTATTACCTGTTCAGAACCACGGACAGTCAGCGTAGCAAGAATTTTGGATACTGGATAGTGAAGGAGGGTTTGGATAGTTAAAGATTCGCAAACAGAAGTTTCATCTGTCGGGCCCACTTAGGGCAACAATGATGTTTCGCTCTACGGTTGGGGGTGAAGGTCAGTACGATAGGAAGAGAAGCTCGACATGCGGCAACAAACGGTAACGATGATGACAAGAAGAAGAGGGGATTCGTGCACAGGAATTGGAGAGTGGGCAGAAGCCCGTCTACACGTAGCTGTGACTTATTCTTTACAAGCTGGACAATTTGTTTAGTACTGGAGTAATATCCCATCCAGTGGTTTCTTACCTGAAAACATTCACCATTAATGCGTTTCATTGATTGCCGGTTGGCGGAGAACCGATAATTCCCCTCTCCTCATCCCCAACACACGAACAGGTTCATGCTTGCCCGAAGACAGCGCCGGTGCACAAGCGACGAGGGTTCTCCGGACCGGAGACCGACGACACCTCTCGATCTCGAGGGCGGAGATACCATTCGTAGCTCTGGGAGTTCTCCGGCCGCGGTTACTACTGTCACCGTAGTTTTAGCAGATGAACCCCCAGGGGCTGTCACTCCCGCTTTAATGATGACGTGATGGCCAACCCCGCCTGTAGTGCAGTGAGGCACCTCCCCGACACGGTTTGTGACGTCTAGTGAACAACCGACAGAAAACCACCTGCAGTACAAATGAGCTTGCTCTTCGTTTCGTTCAGTTGGCATTCTACTCACTAAAAGACATCTCTCATCTACGTGATAGACAGTAAGCAGGTAGGATATAAAAAAATATGAAAATGACGGAAATTGAGCTCAAGGGATGGAGAATGAGAAGAATTGGAGACAAGGAATCGCACATTATCAACCTCCCAGTGATAAGAAACAGGGGGGTCTGGGGTTGGACGTGGGAATACGAAACGGCCTTTGCGGGCATAAAACTGGCGTGCCCCCCAGATTGTCGCATGTGGGGTAAGGTGCATATTTGAGATTTTGTCCATGGCCCCTACTCGATACCCTCAGGCGCCCATGAATCTGTGGCTCATGTACAGGAGGATATATGACGCTCTCAAATGCGTCGATCGGCGACCTCGAGAGGTTGTCGAAGCTTCTTCTTGATGCCAACTACGTCAGAAAAATGGCCACAAAGAGTCCACCAAGAAGCTCGTGATGGGCGGCAAGCCCGTCAACGCGCAGTTCTGGTCGCATGTGGAGCGCTTGGTTTGCTAGCTTGCAGCCCACCGGCATGCTCGCGGTGAAAGATGCACTACCACGTGGCAGACAATCTGAGAGGTGGACGCTCGTAACCGGGATGGGACGAGACGGGAGCCGCGGGAGTGCAGATTGACAGTCGGTGCTTGGTCTTGAGAAGCGTCAGTAGCCCACCGCCAGCGCCTGTATTGGAGTTGTGGACACGTTGATGAGGCCCGCAGTCGTTTTCCCCGACAGAGGCAGGATTTCGGCGGTGGAGAGAGCGGTGCACAACCCCACCGTGGACGTTTTCTTCCAGGGCAACGCATGGATGGAAAACGCAAAACGCGCATCGCGTCGGCAAAGGAAAGCTTAAAGCTTTATACGCAGCCTCTCCACGGGGGAGAGGGTGCTGCACCAAGGAAAAATGAGAAGTCCATCGTTTCTACGGACAACCCGCACCCAACCCGCAGACAACAGACGAGTTCAAGAGTTTTTCGCAGAGAGTGCGACACGCCACCACTGCGGCTCCCTCATCCGGGCTCAACCGATGAACTTCAATCCAAGCCTTTGGGTTATACCTGGAGGGGTGGCTTGGGCAAGAAGACTTTGCTTGTTAGAGACCCAACCAAATTTCTGTGGGAAACGAACGACGTATCATATGCCCACGCGAGGGTGACGTCCACATGAGCGATCTGGGCACCACCATTGACAAATCGGTGGACGAGCGCATCGCTCCGGAGCGTGTAGTGAGGCCGTACCACGTGATGGATGGGGGGGGGAACGATGAAGATGTGCCCGACGACATGGATGGTCAGGACGACAACAACGATGGGGGTGGGGGGGTGGGGGGG